CGAGGAAGGGGCGGAACGAGTTTCTGGGACCGGGTTACCCAGATACGATTCGAGTTGCAGCTGGTGCCCGCCCGCTTTATTCCGCTCGCATACGGGCATCCGGTGGCCGCCTACGAGCACGCAAATGAAGATATTCGCCGTGTTTACAGAGCCGGCCGCGGGGTCAACGTCTCGTAAGTGTGTCGCCGGCTGCTGCTGAAGCCGGCGAGCCAGCTGAAAAACGGACAGCTTATCCTATCCCGACCTTGGGACCGTCCGCGTGGTCCGCAAGGTTCGACAACAAGGTGTGGCCAAACGTGTGCGTTCGTGTATTTTTCCTCCCTTCTGTGTATTATTTTTCTTTAACCCTTTATTGCAAGAATTTTTATGAGTTAATAAGAAAAAGGAAATATACACGGGTGTTAGTCTGATTAAAAATGAGTTTGATCGTGAAATAAGTAATAATATGTAGCGTTCTAAAAGCGTTCATGGTAGGTATTTTGAACCTATGTGAGAAACATATCTTTGAAATTTGAGTCTTCAATTGAGAACGAAATGCAATACAGGGTTAAAGTGAAATATTATTCGTTTTTGATTTCCACGTGTAGATTTTAGTAATTTCTTTTTGAGCAAGAGGGAAAGAGAGAGATAGGTTATTTTTTATTTTTTTTCTTTTCGGATCGTTGAAATTGGTTGCGTTGAATTAATTTAGTAAAATGATCTACAACGTTTTAAAAAATGACGTCAAAGCGGCTTATTAATTTCTTTATCTTTTCAAGTTCTTTTAGATAAGTGTAAATAGAATAATTTAGCTTTTCAAAAGTAATTTAACAGTTGGATAAGCGCGTTTGTCAGAAATAAATTCTCATAATAATAAAAAAAGAGAATAAAACGTTATAAATATGATAATTCTATGATAATTCTGACGTGTTCTACATTTTAATCGAAATTATTTCTCTTATTTACAGAGAGAGAACTCTTAAAACTTTTTAATCCTATAATTAGAATTCCGAGAAAAGAAACTTTCCGCACACGCTCCAATCTTCCCTCTTACCGTTCTTATTAGCCGATCGCCGCCAATTAAACGGCAACGAAAAACGACAATTTCGATTTAATCAAAGTCTCCATATACCAGATCTGAAGGAAGAGATCGAGGTCGAGTAAATAGTACAAATAATCTACTTTCTTCATCAATACAATTTGCGATCCGATATCTTTTTCTTCTTCGTTATATTACAACAACAACCGAGATGAGATTCTTCGTGTACGAGTTTCAAAAGTAATGCGTTTCGCAGTCGATTTAATTTATCCTCCTGATCGATCGATATTTTCGATACGGATCGGGAGGAGGAGGAGGAGGAGGAGGAGGAGGGGAAAGGGATGTTCGAGCGCTATCGAAGATAAGGGATCAGGCGAAATTTATTCCTCCTTTGTATCGCGAGGGCGTGGTTAGAACAATGAACAAAGAGCGCGGTGATCGTCATAAAAGTCCGCGGACTTCTGACAAGCGAACTCGATCGTAAAACATTTACGTGCACGTTTGCGTTACCTACTAGGTAGGAAATGGTCTATTGAATCGTTCGAGATTCACGGTTTACGCACCTTTTCTATGCAGATGCTCCTTCGCTTTGAAATCTTCCTCTCTCTCTCTCTCAACGCTCGCGTTGCGCTGCGATGCTCGATGCCTGTAAACTAAAGTAAGCTAAGAGTTTAGGGGATATGCGAAATGAAACTCGACGAAATTAGAAATCAGGAAAGTGTTTTGTGAATATTCGACACAGTCGTTGCAGATAATTTTATCGTAGATTTGTCGAGTCGTTTTTTTGATTTCAACGATTATCGTTGGAAATATTAAGAGAAATATTAAGAATGTTTGAGAGTGTACTTCGAAGAGAAAGCTGGGTAGTTAAGTTTGAGGACTCGACAAAATTTGAGAGATGTTGTTTTCGAGACGCGAAAATGTTTCCTTCCTTCTCCTTTATCTCGGTTACAGGCAGAGGCACTTTTCACTTGCAAGATGTAGTGCCTCGAGTTGGAGGGGGAGAATGGAGCATTTGTTGGGAAAATATCGTCTTTCGATATTCTAACTCGTAGAGCGAGCAGCGTAGCGGGTTTCGGTGGCCTTTGAGAAGCCGCTGAGAGGCGTAGCGGTTGTACAAGTTGTCTAGGAGACGATGTTGAGAGAGGGACTCGCGGGCATAAATCGCCTAGAAAAGATAAAACGTCGTAGATGGAAGGTGGAACGCACGTGTGTGTACGTGAACGTGACCCTCACTGGCCAGGTGATTTGTGAAACAAACTGCTACCAACCGTGCCTCTCTCTTTACGGTTTCGGCCACCGCTTACATCAATTTACAAACGCGTTCGTTCGTTCGTCGAAGTTTTATGCCAATGTTCGAGAACGTTCAAGAGCTTCGAAGAACAATTTGAGATATTAAAAACTTGAAAAATCTGGAAGATTAAACACTTCGTCCATCGAAATTTTATCACCTCGAATATTAAAAATTTTAAAAATTGGACAATTAAAAGAAATTCTATTTATAGCGAGAGATAAATAAACTTCTTTACTTTCCAAGAAATAGTTCCACTTCTAAATCTATCGCACGTATATATTTTACGTACAAAATTGTGTACGTATGCAATCTCTCGTCACAAATCAATCGTCAATAAGAAATTTCCCAATAGGAAACCGCGTTTATTCCAATTAATCTTCGTAAGTGACAATACTTGGTATTCGCAACGACGAAAGGATTTCTCACAAGTTAAACTAATCGTTTCCTCGACGAAACCTTGGACTCGTGGAGCACACGATGATTTTCTTGCGTGCATTTCAATAATGCGTTTTGTCCTTCGTTACTTCTTCGACTTTTATCACGAGAAAACCTTGTTTCTCTGTAAAATATTTATCTCGATCGCTATATTTAATCGGTGGGAAATAATCGATTAAATTATTGCGATTTAATGGCACGGTTGAGGACGTTTAATATCGCGTTATCCTTGCTATAAATTGCTAGTATTCAGCTCGCTCCAAGTGACGGGTGCAATTTGCTTAATCGCGTGCTCTCACTTTGTTCGAGCAACACTTGAGCCGAGTAATGGAAATTGCGGTTATTAATTAACATCGCCGCTTATGCCATTACTAATTCGATTAAACATTTCTGTATCATTACACCGTGTACGAAACTTAAAAATTTGCGTAATTTATTCGCCATTTATCGTGCGATATTATTATTATCGAGCGACGATTAAAATATCTTGTCCTTTTTTTTTT